CAGGAAAAGTGCTGCCCCTGGCCTCACTGCTGCTTATCCCAGCCAACACCTTTTAATGCAGCTTGAGCCAGTCACGAGGAAGAGTTTCTTTCTTTTTAAAAAATCAAGTAAAGACTGGAGGAGCCCAAAGGATGTTGCAAAGAGCAAAGCACCAGATGGAAGACTTCATCCTACAAAGACCTTAAGAGCCCCTTTCTCATACACAGTGAGACACAAGTTTTTAAATATTCCACTGCTGCGTTAAACTGGTACCAAAACTCTCTGCCTAAACATGACTTTGGGATGTATTACAGCTCTGAATGGAAGTTGGTTCCTTATTTGCAATGGAGATAACTCTGTCCTGCCTTCTCCTGTATTTCAGAGAGTGTGGCTGAGACATCAAAGCTCAAGAACGTAAAGTTTACCTGGCATGAGGAAACAGCTTATGAATATGAAAGTCGAATGAAGAAGTGTAAAAAATGGGACTTAATTCACATGATCCAGGTAAAAGTCTCTGCAAAGTAAATCCTGTCAAAGACTTGGCTGTTATAAACATGCATGAAGTATGTGACCTCATTATCCACTTGAAAGGGAAGAAAGGTGAGTTTATTTCCCTGTAATTCAAAGTATTTAAGCATAAGTGAACTGCAAAAAATGAAAGATGAGTTGCAGCAAAGCAACTTTGAGCACAGTAGTCCTATTAAGCAGGCTGCGGGTGGCAGTCAACAAAAAAGAAAATAGATTTTAACTAGTGTTTTCAAAGCTCCTTGTCCACTCTGGGAAATTGCCTTTGTATTTCCAACTTCACTGAAGCCATTACAAGCCATCCTCACTGCTAAGAAAGGCTGATCTGCTTATCTCAGGTTAATGAAGTAACATGAGTATGGTCCTGGCAGAATCAGAGAGCAGGGAAGGCAGTGACCTCCCTCAGGAGGTTGCAGCAGGAGTCCACTGCCTGGCGTTAAGCTACGGTCTTGTCATCCCTCTGCTCTTCTCTCAAGATTGTCCCCGTCTGGCTCCTTTTACATAGTGGTACCAATTATAACACTCTCCAGGGCTGCACCATTCTCTCTGTAAGCATCTCTGCTCTTTCCAGATGTTATATTATGTGGAAGATATCCTGGCGACTATCCGATATTTCCACAGCCTCCTGGAAGCACAGGGCAAGCTCCTCATCATCCACTCATCAGGTGAGAGCTGCTCCACCAGTGCTGCTCACTCGGGCAAGAGCCATGAGGACCTTTGGGATTCCTGTGAGTTCAATCCAGGCCAGCTAGAAACCAATGCACATTTTTATTTAAAACATCCCTTAACACCTATAGAATGAATTGGCTGCATAATTATAGAATCATGGAATTGTTGGAAAAGACCTTTAGGATCATCAAATCCAAGCATTAGCCCACCACCGCCAAGTCCAATCTAAACCTCCTGACACAACTGGAGGCCATTTCCTCTTGTCCTATCAATTGTTACTTGGGAGAAGAGACCAACCTTGCTACAACCTCCTGTCAGGTACCTGCAGAGAGCAATAAGGTCTCCCCTCAGCCTCCTTTTCTGCTTCCCTCAGCCGCTCCTGGTAAGACTTGTACTCCAGAACCTTCACCAGCTTTGTTGCCCTTCTTTTGGACATGCCGTAATCGATGGCCAGAGAGAGGCTCCATCCCGTGGCTTTTGCTCACAACAGCTCCTTCAGCCTCTGCTCTTTTCTGTAAAAGGCTTTCCAGGCTGGGCACCACATTATCTTACTCCTGGAGACTTGAGGCATTAAGCAAATGGCTGACAGGGCTCGGCTGTGCTGTACAGCAGGTGTTAGAGCACATATGGTTCGTTTTCTTTTTAAACTGCCCATTTCTTTAACATCATCATTTTGGGTGGAAAACAGCATTCTTAGGCTGTTTCAGATCTCAAAGAGATGCTCTGTGGTCCACCCAGAAGGAAAATGTGGGAGCAGAGTGAACAATGACCTTTTAATGCTGTGGGCAAGGTATGATAGAGATACTGCAATGGCAAAGTCTGATTTGACTGCAAAAAGCCTTTAATTTGCTTCACAAGCTGTGGAAATTTTAGTTGTATGAAAAGCCACATCTGATAGTTCTTGTCAGGGATGCTAAGGGTTATTTGCACAGAGTTCTGAGCTGATTTTTTTTTTTACCAAATTTGGCCATGTCTGCAAACTGTAATGTGTTT